CTCGGACTGGGTCGTTATTGGCTCCGTAGCCCCTGGAGAAGCTGTAGATGCCAGGGTAAAGCTTATCCTTAGCCAAAGCCTGCAGAACACGTGGTGCGCCTACCAAGGAAGCGATGGCGGAGGAGAGGGTGGCAGCAAAACAACCAGCATAGATAAGGGGACCCCAGGCAGACACCAACTCCATGACCTGAGAAAAATGTGCAAGTTAGGTATTTAAGGTGACGTTCAAATGATTTAGGCAGGCACACCACCCTGAAAATATACTGCATAAAAAAGGAATATATCTTTTAAATGAGGTTGCAATGTAAATCTAACTTTTAGAGTGTAAATAACCATCAAAGTTATCATTATTTCACATTTACATTAAAAAATATCTAATTATGGTACTCTTTACCTGGAAGCTGTTTTCTAAGCCATATTCACAAACTTCACCCGTTCCCGTTTTAGAGCAGGATTCATTTGTGAACACTGGGTTCTCTAAGAGTCCCGTGGTGTTGAAGTAGTTTTGAAATATGGTCTCATTGCCTACAAAGAAAACATCAGTAATCATGCTGCATGTCAAGTAACAAAAATGTACTTTGAAGAAGAGATAATCATCTATATTCACAACATCTTCAGAGAATACATTAAAGCCAGCTGAGTTTAATTTGGCTCTTGGAATCATGGTATAAATAAATACAACTGAAAGGGTGATCATATCTGTGTAACCATCTAGAAGCAGCAAAGTCTAAAAAATAATTTTGATAAAAATTTACGTACTCATAAAGTTCTGGTTATTACTTTTTTTTTTTTTTTTTTTTGAGGGGGGGGGGGGGATATAAAAGTAAATCTTAGAATGAAGTTTACTTATCATGGGCCAAAATATAAGAGTTATTTGCCAGACACTACTTATGTAATTCATGTATCTTATGTAGCTTTAAACCTGATCAGACATTAGACGAACAGGCCCACTGCTAAATTTCATACTAGCCAAAGTGTCAAAGTGGACTTTGTTGCTCAACCTAAGAACAGAGATAATACAACAGAACATATTAATCACAAACATAAGCAACATAATTACCTGAAGCATCACGGGTCACTGATCCAGCAAGCATAAATGGATACACAATATAAGTTACGAATGTAATTCCAATGGCAAGGAGAGTTCCCTTAGGAATTGCAGAGCCTGGATCCTGCAACAAAAATCAATTGTAAACCATCTGACCAAGTCATATGACCCAGGCATATTGCAAAAATCAAATAACAAATGTGCAAAAAGAGTAATGAAATCAGGTTTTAAGAAAATGCATTATTCCAAAGATATAGAATAAAAACTACAATTCATCTACTAACAGCTTCATAAAGACTAATTACTTTTGCCTACCTTCAGATCACCAGAAAGGTTAGCTCCAGCGACAATGCCTGTTACAGCTGGGAAGAAGACACCAAAAACTCCGAAAAATCCATATTGCTCTCCATCAAAAGTCCTAAAGTCTGCACCAACATTCTGAGTAAATACTCCGGCTGAAATTATAAAAAGAGTAATACAGTGAAACTAACTATCTTAAACTATACAGACTCACAGGAACATCTATACTTTTCTGATCTGAAGTTAAATGTATCTCTTTCCCTTTCAATTATATACTGAACCTATATAAAAGATCATAGAATAATTAGTTATACTTTTCTTACTGTGGCTGTATTGCATTTCATCATTGTAAGCACATCAATGTGTTTGTTTTTTGGTTTAAAATAAACTTATACTTACATGACATGCCAACAAATCCCTGGGCACGTTCCAAATCATCCAGTGGGCCCATGAAGAAGCCAATAACAAAATCAATCTGAGATCCAATGAGCAGGAACAGTAGGGCCATTTGTACCTATAAAGAGGTTGAAAATTTTAATCCATTGTCTTGCTCTCTCATTCTTTCATTCAATCTCTTTCAAATAAAAATGCATAAACAAATATTAGAAACTCTGAGACTTACTCTAGTCACCCAGTCCATGCCGACAATAGCCAATGCCAATACTGCTACAAGTGTGATGGTGCCCACAATACGAGTGTCATTGAGACCTCCATCCAGAACTTGAGCGTTGTCGAAGTAGTACTTCAGTAAATCCTGTATCATAAACATAAGACATTATCATTCATTTTCTTTCAAACTATTATTCATAAAAATACATCACCATCATCTCTCTGATTTTCAACTTACATTTCATCTGTAAAAAACTGACATTTTCCTTTATAACTACATGGAGGAACAGAAAAAATGACAATGCATAATTCCTATTAACACAAACCTTCAAGGAATCACAGAAACCAATAATATAAGTAGCCGCAGCAATGGAATTAGCCAGGGTGAACATAAGTCCAATGGATCCTCCAAACTCTGGGCCAAGTGAGCGAGAGATCATGTAGTAAACACCACCTATAAGTAAATTTAACATGTAAATCATCTAAATCAAAATGGATATACAGTAGATATGTTCTGTTATTAGATGTTTACTTCTTTTATTGGACGATTAAGAATAAAGACATTAATCGCTATTTTTCTTAAATCATGTATTACCTCATTACTCCACAACATACCTCCTTTTATGCGACCATTTGTAGCAACTGCTGACATGGAGAGAGTAGTAACCAATGTGACAACATTTGCCATAACAACAATTAAGATGGAATACACTGCAAAGAAACAGAAAATAATAACAATTAAGATAGAATACACTGTAAAGAAACAAAGAAAATAATACAATCTCTTTGAAACTAGATATCTTCTTTATTCAAAAGAGACAATAGCTGCTATTCAAAAAAAGGAAAGGCAAAACTCAAAATTTCTGAATGTTAACTGATGTGGAAAAGCCAACACAAGAAGTAAAGCTTTCACTTACCAAGTCCAGCCTGGCCAACCATCCAGCTGACTCTCAAGAACAGCATCACACCCCAAATGTTGAGGAGACATCTCATCTGTAGAAGATTTATCAGAATGAACACAGATCATGAGTAGCAGTATGAATTGAAAGAAAGTTGAGGAGAGGAAGGAGTCACAGGAATGAAGTATAAATGAAGAGGTGGAATAGTATCTATGGACTTGTACATTATATCACCAATTAGATAAAACATTTGTGGGTGTGTGCATCTACTTACCAGTACTCCTTCGATCCATCCAAACTTGATAACTTTGCCACGGAGGTTGGCTGCTTGTGCTTCTGGGTCGGCACCAGTACTTTG